GGCGCGGGCGCGGGCCGGTGCGGCTCCTTGCGGTGCGGCGGCGTCAGGAAGCGGTAGTGCAAGCGCAGCGGCAGCACGCGCTTCCACGAGTAGATGTACGCCACGTCCATCAGCGTCAGGTCGTCCGCCAGCGCCTCCTGCTTGTAGCGCAGCTCCACCACGTGCGCCGGCGCCAGGCAGAACTTGAGGCGCAGGAACTTCTTCAGCACGCGCACCGGCACCTGCGCGCAGCCACCACTTTTCATACTCACAAAAGGCACACAATTACATCTATTCTTTCTCTTTTACTCATAATCGAGAGAAGGATACTTCCATCTCGACTCCGGATGAAAATTCCCCCCTCCAAAAAAACAAACATTTCCAAAGCCATTTATCCAATCATTCATATCCATATTATCAAAGCCAAATTGCCCAATCTGACAACCCTGACTACTACCCACACGCTACTCACGTCAAAAACTGCGTAACGTAATGGTAACGTAACGTAACTGCGTAACGTAGTGGGGAAATGCAATATGTGCATGATTTCTACAGCTTCGGTATGTCTATTCTAATTTATATACGTATTACATATTAAATTCAATTACAAATCAACATTTATCTGCTGCAACGCTTCTCTTCCACGAAGTCACGTGAGCGACACTAAAAGTACAAGTCACCTACGGCACTTCATCGCATTTTCCCTGTGCATTTTGTGCCCTTCAAATCCCCAAAATTTTCAACATGTTCCCCCTCTTTGGAGTATGAGCAAATTCTTCTCGGACCACTCTTCTCCTTTCCCCAGCATTTCCTTCCTCCAATTCCAACCTTTCTGTTCTACGGATGGCGCCACTCGTTTCAAGTACATTGAATATAAAAACATTTTTTAATTAAAACAAAAGTTCACTTTATAGTTTATTAAGCCCCAGATCTCGTCATGCAAACACCACTCCCTGCCCTTGCATGCTCCTGATAGAAGTTAACGTAGTCACCATTTGGTGGCATTTTGGTACAATTTATCAAGTTAAGAACCAAGATTAAGTTCAAAGGGAGCGCGGTAGAGAAGAGCTCGTGACTGACCTGCGCCTGGCAGCTGACGTAGCGCACGGGCAGCGCGCCGTCCGGCGGGGCGGGCGTGGGCGTGGCGGGCGACGCCGCGCCCGAGCCCCGCGAAGACCCCTCCTCGCTGTCCGCCTCCTCCGCGCCCTCGTCTCTGCAAGGCACTTGCATTCACGACACGCATCGCCAGGGCCTAATGTCGTAGCGCGAGCCAAGCGGAAGCCGCGTCCGAGTACGCACCTGTAGACGAGGGCGACGCTGAAGGGCTCGGTGGGCGAGAAGATGAGCGGGTCGACGGCGCCGCCCGTGTCCTCGGGGCGCAGGTGCGGCGGCGGCGGGTGGCGCGCGTAGAAGTCGCGGCGCCGCCGCACCTCGCGCGGGTACAGCTGCGGCACCATCTTGTAGACGAGCGTCTGCAGCAGCTTGTCGCGGCGCAGGTGGCGCGCGGAGGGCCCGGGCGCGCCCGCGGGCTGCAGCTGCACCTCGCACACCG